TGTATCATCGTAACAACGGTAGCAATAAAAAACGAGACTACGCCATTCTTCAAACATTCACGACTTCGCCCAGAACAAAGTAATTTGAATGAAATTTTCAATATATTACTTTTTCATTATCTATTTTGAAACTAGTACAGCGAGAATTGTCAGCTGTATATCTAAATCTTACATAATGCAGCTTTAAGAATAAAATATTGACGAATGGTTACCGGTGACGTATAAAGATTATATGCCTCTGTTTGTCATTAGAGAGACAAATGATGGCTCCATATATGTTAAGATGTATTCAGCAGAGAACTTATTGCCCCGTTTATGACTGTAGCCGATTACTAAATGTAGCATAGTCATTCACACCAGCGGAAGAAACAGACCCACAATGATCTAAAGATGGTTTTAATAGACTCGCGCCATTGATATTACGTCATCGTTACGAGATTCTCTAATTCTGCTTTCATCGGAAATCAGATCATAAAATTAGACTCACTTGGTTCTAGATGTTGAATGGGTTTAGGAGATAATATCCCGTGTCCATTTCTCATTAAGCCATTACATTGACACCTTGATAACAATTCATTCGTTTAAGACCACTGTGAAATGATGGTGTTATAATCTATTTAGTGACGAGTGGCTATTGTTTTGACGTAATTTGCCGACGTTAGTCGATGGATACCGACCAATAGTTCAATCTAATGAAGTCATTAATAGCGTGTAATAGGCAATGGCCGTAATTCTGTCGTCATAAAAAAAAAGTTGATATCCCCCAGTAATATAACCGAACACCGATTCTAGTAAAGCAATTTAAGGCCCTTCATGACGCTTCTTATTAGCCTACTAGATACGCCTGGAAACAGGTCAGTTCAGTAACCAGTTTCATTGTGAAATCGATGAAAATAAAACATGGACGAACTATTGAAACAATACGTAGACGTCACAGATAAAAGTAGGCAAAGTGATCTTAGAACTTTTAAGCCAAGGAAATAAATATGTAGGACGGTCATAATTGTTTTTCAAACCAGTTTTAAATATTACATACAAAACCTATTCAGTTTCTTTGAATAATTTACAATTTGGTATTTTGAATAAATCATGAATACTAAAATTCTAGATGTGCTATGGCTGGAAATTTTTGACAGGACGTGGTTATTTTACGTGACCTCGATTTTTTCCGATCACCATCTCTGGTAAAATTATTCTCAGCATTTTGAACCACATTATAGTTTTACCTTACAAGATGCAGATAAAAGTAGAAAAGAGTAACTATTTAGAAATGTTGCTTTATATTTGCACATTTTATTAGATACTGTTCGTTTGATCGTTTTTAATTGATTCATTCATTTTGTCCTCACCTGTCGGTAGATATCAAAGGGCTTGCAAACAGGTGTTGTGATGTGGTCGTAATGTTGAATCAAGTGTAAGAAAATTAAACAGCAGGTATTTAATTAAAACTGACCAATATCTCTTTCCTATTACTCCGGACACAAACTTTCTCACGAAATAATCCAACTATAACTATGGGTTATTAAATACACCCCACAATTTTATAGCCAATCAGGTAACAATAAAAGAAAATCCCTACAGTCTGATCCAATCATTTTGAAATTAATATTATCAAGAGTAACTATTTTCTTTGAAGATTCACAGAATTTATCTATAAATATTAATTCATTTTACGGAGATAAATTGAAAATATTAAAATTTATTAATTTAAGGAAATAGTATACGGTTGGATGTGTATGACATACTGTTTTATTCACGTTCATTAAATAAATATATTTAATCAATATGATTAAAACAGACCCTATTTCGTTTTGTTTTCGTTCTTTATAGTTCAAAATTTTGATTAACTTGTCTTTTCTATAGCAGTTATGAGTTAATGTAGTGAAGGCTATCGATACCGAACCGAAATATAAATCTGTATTTTAATCACATTGATAATTATTATAATAGATTTTATGATCGAATATCTAGAGGAGAAATAAATTTCATCTCTATAGTATATAATTGATCCTTTTTGAGAACCATAAATTCATTATCAATAAATTTAAATTCAAACATATAACTAAAAAGAGGATGATAAAACTTTCTGCCATGCAATAAATTTTATTAAGAAGAATTATTGAAATTATTGAAATATATTTCCAAATCAATGATTATATTATAATGAAAATCATGAAATTGAAAACGAAATAAAATCTGCGTGTCGACCCCTCCCTCGAGTAAGAATTGAAGCTCGTGAGGTTATTAGGTGTATTAATAGTTCATCTAAAGATCGGGTTATTTTGGGGATTAATTCCATATTCATCAAATAAATAGTTAATAATCAGTGGGAACTCGTAAAATATGTACTCAGTATTCCCCAGGTAATTTTTACCTTTTATAATAAGCTGATGAATTAATACCATGCGTCTTTATCTGTTTTATTATATTATACAGAAGTACTTTCTCCAACTCTTGTCACATCTAAATACTCTATTCATTATCCGTGTATTAAATATCATAATATTCTAATTCAGTCCTTTTGAAACGAAAGTTAGTCATTTTAAAGTGGATACTAGCTTGGAATAAATGCATAACTTTTATGATTCCAAATTACACAATTTTAAAAATACTTATATATGGCAGCAACGAGATTTAATACAGAGAATAAATGAATGAATGAATGAATGGGGTTTAACATCCTACTTTTCTGCAGAGGAGTGTCGCTTTAAAATGAATCAAGTAGTTATTATTAATAATTGAAAGTGGGCACAAACGCGACTCTAAAATGTCGATAAAAAGTGCCATTAAATCTTGTCCTTGGCTATTACCTTTCTAGTAAAATATGTTGTTATATTAGACAGGAAATTACAACTACTTATTGAAAGACAGACACAATAACAATACAGCCCTCAATTCAGAAAAAAATATATAAAAATACCTTCAATCATTACAAGGCATGCATCATTACCCCCCTTCACCACCACTCTTCAATGTCAAAAGATAAAAATATTTGTCATGGTCATTTGTAAATAGCCATGGTCATTTTTATTATTTCATGGGTCAAGTCTTGCTTTATCCGGGTCTCTTGACTCATGCAGTCTATTCTTGAGAAACAGCACAATAACTTAATGACGGTTGACAATATGCTCTCTCTGAGGTCGGGTATTTCAATAGGTGTGTAATTAGTACAAGATAATGATATAGATATCCAGGTGTATGACTGACTTCATCATAAAGACGATCTATACATGTATATACTAATAGTATTTGTATATTCTTTAGTACACATTTTATCGTTCTGTAATAACCATTGTCAAATCTATTCACAGAATTCACATTTTTAATGATAAATAGCGACGAGGTATTAATTTGTTCTGCTACTTGCTTCAAATGAACGCCGATTGAAATCTTAAAGACACTCATTTCTACACAATTATCTTTCAAAGGTTGCTTCTCGGATCATAACTTGACAAACAAAAACATTCAATTAAGACGAGACGTTTTATGGAAGATAAAATTATGAACAAACAAAGGTTTAATCATGGTTGTTTATGAATATGATGTGGCTTGACTAATACCTTCCCATTTTATACTAACTTTAATAGACGTGACTTAGGGTCAACCAGTACAAAGTATTCTAAATAAACAACCAAAATATGTAGTTTATTATTTGGATAGTTTAGGGTACGACCATGGGAACACGGAAAGCATCACCAAATACGGATTTTATTATTTGAAACAACTGAGACACATGTAGTTTATAATATATTGGCAGGTATGGTTATTGCTATAGGAACCCGAAAGTGAAAATGTTTTGTTTATTTTTCGATCAATAATTATATTTTTAATAGCAACATTTTTACAATATAAAATCTATCCGTTGAAAAGTATTACTGCAGGCCTACAGATTAATTTAACGTGTTGCTACATAGCGAAATGGGAACTCGAATTTCAACAAAGATTGCATATAGTTATATTTCATTTGACAGCCCGATTTTTTTATGCTGGGAGGTGGGGGGGGGGGACATTGAAACTAAAGTCATACTAAAAAAACGGTACCAGGAAATGGATTAAAATTACTTAGAAACCACATTTCACCCACTTATTATTAATTTCGAATTATTAAACGAATGCTATTGATTCTGAAAATGAAAATCACCCGCGGCTTATGCAATTGAACCTATAATAATTAGTTTCGTATGGAAACTGTTTTATGACATTATTCATTTTTATTTATATTTGATCATAAAATATAATATTAATATTATTGTTAACCTTTAGAACTTAGTATATAATAAAACTAGCATTTTCATATCTAAACCTATAAACTATGTAAATAACAATTGGTATTCCTTACTGGATTTAATTAACTTCACAATGATTTTATAGAGAGGAGGGATTTTCTTTTATTGTGAGCCGATTGGCTATAAAAATGTGGTTTATATGTCTAATAATTCGCTATGTTTCGTGAGAAAAGTCGGGGTTTACCACAGATTGAAATTCCGTCTGCTCATTCAATTATATTTGAGATTGGTCCGCGTCTTGTATTTATGAGAAGTTAATCTTTAATTTGGGATATTAAATGATGTCGTGACAATTCAATTAAATTCTCTTTAACAAACCAATGTCTACGATACGGACACGGGCACACAAGATAGGGTCTGGTGATATGATCTATCGAATGTTGGAATCTAAATTTTGTTAATAATTAAGTTAAACATAAGATTTGGCACGAAATTCCGGAGTCCGAACAGAATTGTATGATTTAGCAGTGTGCACGTATCTATGTTAACTAAAATATAAGTTTTAAATTGCAATGCCCGAATTATCGAAACCCGATCGAGTCTAATTACGTTTTAAAGAACATTTCAAAATTGATTAACCCTATTGAGTTGTCGGGAATGCCACCCGAACCCTATTCCCAATTATATTCCAGCAATTATACTGACAATATTGTATAACTCTTGTATTAAAAATGCCGAACAATCGTAACAAATATCTGTATTTAATACTTTCAGATTGTACTGATTATAGTCAAGTAAGAAGATATCGAACAGCTTTCACGAGAGAACAGATCAACAAATTAGAGAAGGAATTTGCTAAAGAGAATTATATCTCCAGACCTAAACGATGTGAACTAGCTGCTGCCATGAATCTCTCAGAAAGCACCATTAAGGTAGGGAATCGAACAATGTTATTAATGTTTGTGAAGCATGTATGAAAATTAAAAATATATTGTGGTCTTTTAACAGGACCATTTTGATGCTGGTCTGGTGGTTTCCTTTTTACATATTAAATGGTTTTTTTTTTTCAAATTTTCTCGCCATATCCTTATCAATCCCTGGACACGCACTTGTGTTTTCTTTTAATTTTATGGTAGGTCCTACTTTACATAATTATGGTACTTTATATTTTCTTTGCACATGGTATCCATTTGAAACTCACGAATATGTCCACTTTCTATTTAAGGTTTGGTTCCAGAATCGTCGAATGAAGGACAAAAGACAGAGAATGGCTGTCGCCTGGCCTTATGGAATCCCACCGGATCCCCATCTTTACGCCTATCTAGCAGCAGCCGCCGCTTCGTATCCGTACAACATGAACGGAAGTTCACCTCTAAGTCATGCAGCGCTCGGTCTCACAAGCCAAGCTTCACCGTTATCGCCTTTCCAACTTCCAGGTATGACGTCAAGACCGGATCTACTTAGTTCCATGTCCACGGCGTTTCACAAACCAACTGGTCTTGAAGGGTTGTCTCCCATGGCAGCTCATTCTCTAGGCTATGCCTTAAATTTTGGTGTTATGGGTGGGTATGGTTTACACGAACAATCTGTCGGTGTATCTATTTCTAATAAGCCATGCCCATGCCATTCTCCCTCACTCGGACCGCATACATTATCTGCACATGCTCATCTTTCTAGTACTGGTAGAGCGTCACCTACTTCCTCTCCACCTGCCAAGAAAAGGGAGTTAAATCTGTGATAGTCTATATAAGAGAACTATTAGAACATTGGTAATATTGTGCTGTAAGTTGTTAATATTAACTGGGAACAAAGTGTATATATATTCCCCCGGTGTATATATGAGTTGAAGAATGGTGGTGTATGGAGTCACGTGAAGTTTAGAGATTGGAAATCTACAAATGTTAGGTTGACTGAAGGATGAAATTGTCGAGATCTCGTAGACTTGAATTTTTAAAACTGGACCTAAATGGCAGTTGGCTATGTGTTTCTTGGGCTATCTGTAATTCATTTATTATTGACATACTGTAAGGTTCATTAGAATGACTAGATAAAAGGTGCTAATAAGATTTGGATCAAAATAGACGATTTTGTGTTAGAAATGGATTTGAGGTGTATAAATATAACGTTGAAAATGAAACGTTGAAAATATGTCGGAAGACGTTAATTATTGAAACTTCAATAAAGTTCATGTCTGGAATTAATTTCGTCTGTTGTATTTTGAATTTAAATCAGTATTATCAGTCTCACCAAGAAATTTTGAATAACATCGCTTTCAAAGTAATCTTCGACACCCTAAGGCAATTTTCATAGGTTTCCATTAAACTCATGAGAAATTAAAACGTTGCATACTACCAGCGATGGATTGGTCAGATTATTTATATACAAATTATGCACAATCGAATATTTTTGCCTTAACAGCGGTAATGTCTCTTTAAGACAAGCAATTGAGATATGTTTTGCAAAACGTCATTTTAAAAAGAACCTAAACTCTGGATTTCATTCTCTTTTTTTATCCCGTGTATATAATACCACCCTAGGAAAATCGGACATTTTCGTCTAGTTACTCTGACAGTATAGACACTGATGACACCCTGCGTGCAACCACGGCGTAACCGGACCGCTATAATGTCCTCAATAATATACTAGGAATGATATACCCGGTCTCTCATAGAATTGGCTGGTGTAAAGTACCACATAATAAACAAAAGTTCCACTCGCTCACTCTCAGTGGCTTAACGATATCATCCCAACCTTAATCCCGGAACTTTTTGGTCCTCCGTCAAAACCCACGACTGGCAATCCACGCGGGATGGGTTCGGGGTTGGAGGGTTTTGGGCGCTATTTTAACTCAACCCTAACTACAGAAACATCATCATTAATATTGGTTTCGCTGTTCTGAGACATGACTTACTATAAAATAACGCTGGAATTAGTAATAACATGTCCAAAGTACACACCGGGTACGAAAAGACCAAATAAAATGAAATGGGGTTTAACGTCCTACTGTTCTCCCCCGACTGGGCTAATGAAGACGGACATATGCCATACTGTGTGCTAATGAACGAAAATTTGCCCGGACTGCGGCATTACGTATTACTCTTATGTCAAATTTCAATTATCAAGTGGTCTTTTGCATGCACGCCAATATGTATACGGGTTTTGTGTCCCATCCGAAGGACTATACATTGTCCCTTGCCAAGCCCTCCGTCCTGCACCACTGACAAGGAGGAACCATGGGTCAACGAAGGGATCGAACACGTGACCTCCAGACTAGCGAGTCAGACAGGCTCTTCATTTCTTAGAGGTGTCAAGGTTATACAAGGCATTATTTATAGCTAAAGAATGGGTATATCAACCCGCATTCATTCTTAATTTCGTGATTCACTTTTTACATTTGGACAACCTCTGTTTAAATGTCATCATAGCACAATCAAACTCACCCATGGATCATGCGTCTTAGGTTCATCTCTATATATCTTCATTGTCTTAGATGTTACTGACATTAATTTGGAATATCATCCGGTTAATGCAAAAACAGGTATGACATTAAACCCTATTACTGTTTTACCCCATGTTTTAAAGGATTTATTAGTTGTGTAATAAATTAAAACAAATTATTCTTCGTTATTATCACTGATTAATGGGATGACATATATATATATATATATATACGTACATATTTAATGTTATAAAATCTTAGGCTTATAAAATGTCAAATGTTTAGCAAAATGATTTCTGCTCATGATAGTTTAAAGAGCAGATCGTGATAATTACCTCCATATTTATTAAAATTTGTCAGTGGCTCATATATTGAGAGAGAGAGAGAGAGAGAGAGAGAGAGATGGAATTTAACGTCCACTTCGAAAAACTAGGTCATTTCGGGACTAACACATGGATCCGCCATAATATATAATATCACAAGAAAAATAGAGAGGGAGAGAGAAATGGGGTTTAACTTCCACTCGACACAAACTAGGTCATTTCGGGACTAACACATGGTTCAATTTTATTTCAACAATTCGCTCGCGCGTAGGGGTCTTTAGCGGTGGGAGGAAACCGGAGAAATCCCACGAGGTTGGACAAGCGACCCTACTCCTTGCCACGTATAACCGGGGAATCGAAACCACGCCAGTTGACTAAATGGCAGACCTTATGATACAGCACGCACGTGCTAACCATTCGGCCACCCAACCACCCAACCACCCACACATATATTGAAGGAGTGGAGTTCTTTTCATTATATCAATATTTAATAAGGTTTTAAATGGATATAATTGCAATATAAGCATTTCATCTGAAAATAACTCGGAAAACTTAATAGATCCATCTGTCCTTTCGGGAAGCTCTTTATGATATGGTCGGGTTCTAACATTGATTATAGGCTTTTCATATGAATAAATGGCTAAATTATAATTTATATAAGATTTGAATCCCAAAGAAAGACCAGCAATAGAAAAATTTAGCTCTTACATAATATATCTTTAAAGGGCCAATCCCAATAATATTTTGGATAATTGAACTGCTTAATTTTGTGTTAAAATCCCTTAAAATCCTCTACCTTAGGGCCGAGCAACTAACTCAACACATGTGATACGTTTTCAAACAACTTAAGCCCGTCAGTCTTCATCTGGAAATGGAGACCAGTATCCCAAGCTGTATTATGCGGTGTCTGGATAAAACCAGACTTTTATTTTATAAAAATAATGTGTAGGTGAAATTTATCTTTCGTTATCAAGTACAGCACATGGGTCATTCATTGAATAGACCTCTAAAGGGACGGGAATCGATTATCAGGTCACCCACGAATTTTTTTTAAAAGGGTTACGTGTCCGGATAAGCAGTTTTGACGTTCGCGTCCAAACGACTAAATATTTTGAGCTGAAATTTTGAGACAAGGTAAATACAGCACTCCTCTATATGTTGGCGTTTAAATTTCATACGTACTCAGATTTTTAATTTTGAGACTCTGTTCAAATCGGGATAGTCCCTTTAAGTGAACAAAAACGTTAATAGTGGAGATGAAGTAAACAGTAATACGTTGTAGAAATGGATTGATTCACACGGACAACTTTATTCCTCTAACTTTTTTTAAAATCATTTTGATTTGAATCCGCGATTATCAGGAGATTAACTAATCTACAATTTCGGTTTTTAGCTTTCAAAACGTATTTTTGTTTGATTTAAATAAACGATTTATATGTATTCTCCGTTGCTGCTTAAATAAAGAAGAGGAAGAAATGGGGTTTAACGCCCACTCGACACAAACTAGCTCATTTTGGGACTAATCGATGGTTCAATTTTATTTCAATAATTCGCTTGCGGGAAGGGGTCTTTAGCAGTGGGGGGAACAACGGGGGATCCGAAGAAAAGCCACGAGGTTGGACAGGCGACCCTATTCCTTGTCACGTACAGCCGAGGAATCGAAACACGTCAGTAGACACAATGACAGACCTTATGATACAACGAGCACGCGCTAACCATTCCGCCACCCACCGACCCTCCCCAGAAAACCCCCCAGTATGACTTGCGGAATAGTGTATGGATTGGGGATGCATCCTTTACGTCACAGGGTTAAGGGTCACACCAAAAATAAACGACAACAGAACAATATATTGTTTAATCCTAATGTGCAACAGAAGCTAAAGTTCTTTTAACTTTTCAAACATTAGAGCATTCTATCGATAAGTGAACCGTGCTTGATTTTTATAAGAAGTCTTTCCTTTTGACATTATATCAAACCTCGATTATAACTTCCGCACAGGTAAACCTATTTTATATCGTTGCAGGTATAAAAGTCGACATTAAAAGATAAAAACTCGTCCATGGACTTCCTGACAAAGTTGATCGGCCATTATAACTGTCGATACATAACAATTAAATTTTATATTTCAATAACCATTCTCAAGTCTCTTAAACCTTTATATATTCGTGGGCCTTTTGATCAAGGCTAGCAGCCCAGTCGGTGTCGTATAAAGATAAAAGGAATATAAAACTAGAAAATCCTGACTTTCAACACACTATAAACTCCCGCCCTTTTCTCACACGGCATCCACAGATTTTGTATTAAGCCATAAAATAAAAACAACATGGTTGATACTCACACGAACCCTGTTGAGTTTTAAAAATCGCAGTTCTACCCGTAGAGTTTGCCAGCTCGTAAAATTACATCAAACAACTACCCTACTAGGCTTTTGAAGTAAACTCCAGATAAAGGGTTGCTTAACTATGAACCATACACTGTTTTTTATGATCGGATATCACTCCCGTTAATGTCATATTTTTAGAAAATTACCAGTCGCATTAGGTTGTACAGCTGCGGCGCTTCAGCTTAGTATCCAACAGCTACCAATTTCTCAGCAGTTTAGTAATACACTCTTCTATTAATCTGTACACCTAGGTTTCAGAAATATATCTAACAATAAAATATAAATTATTGAATTTTGGTATGCAGAGCTAAAATCGACTTTGCAAAACTTCAAACACTTTTCAGGCGGCTTCTTATGTTTACGTGAATTTTGAAAAATCTTTTCCCGGTGACTAAGATCAATAAAGAACTTGGCGTATGTAATTAGACTGAGTACGCTTTTTGTTAATAAACAACAATAAATATGTGGGCTTATAACCGTAGTTATAATTGTTTACAGAACATGAACACTTCAAAACAAAATTAAGTATATATGACCCTGTTTAATTAGGACATTTTCGAGATAATTATTCGTATCAATCAGTGTTGTTTATAAAACATACATAGTAGCAATTAAGCGAAACGAAATATTGATTATCATAGGATAGACTTGTCGTCTATGGCCGGAAAAACTCAGATCATAAATTTATAATAAACCGGTGATAAAATTTATTTGTTGTTGATAAGTGTATTGTATATGAAGAACAGGCTTGTTTATTGGGTTCCACATAAAATTAACAATCAACCAATATTTCATTTACTTTTATCGAAAACTTGACCAAACGAAATATGTGTGGTCTTTTTCAGGTTTATCCAGGTATGATAAAAATGTGTATTTATTCTTCAATCGATTGAGGGCCTGTTAAGCTAGACTTTTTTTGTCCGACTTTGATGTTTGTTTGATAGGTTTTCCCGCGCTTTGTTAATTATCATAAATACGATTTGATATTCGTTTTCCTGCTGTTTTTGAATTACCGAAACAGACGTTAAGACGTGAGTTGAAGCAGGTTGGT